CTCCACTAGCAGGATGGTGGCTGATCCACTGTTAGAGATACTTTCCAGACTCATGTTAAGAGTTTAGGACTTCATAGGATTTGATATACTTTGGTTACATCATTGACATTGTTAGATATTTTATGAGTATCTTATGCATGATTATTTATTCATGTGGTTTTATGGCATAATTGATACTATTAGCACACATTGTATATGATGTTACGAGGCTTAGATTGACCTTTTCACAGTAGCGATCACCCTGGCGCTTGTAGAGCGAGTGGGATGAGATATTAATTATCTTGGCGCTTAGAGAGTGAGCGAGGTAAATGTTTTGTGACTTGAGAAGTGAACAAAATTGATTTATTATTAGATGTCGCCTTAGCATTGGCTAAGATGAGACCTTAAAAAGTCGAACATGAAGTCATCCACAGCTTCATGAAGCCTGAATATAGCTGAATATAAGGTTTTAGATAGGCGCTTGATAAGCGAATATGCTAAGAAACTCAAGTTAGGCGCTTGTATAGTGACTACACTAAGATTCGTATGACGTTAGAGAGTAATAGACCCAATCTAGTGGGAGTTCCGCCATAACATACATATCATACTGTATGTGCTACCGTTGACCACTTAAGGGAGTGGCTAGATAAATCCCTGCTCTATACCCTTGAACCTGGAACTATGTCATGAAGTGATGACTTGATGTCACTACTTTAGCATGGCATCTAAGGGTCATGATGAATACAATCCAAAGGACCATGTTTAGGAAAGGGGTCAAGTTTGAGTGAATTGACATGAGTGGCTAGGAAAGATTATTGAAAATCATACCATTGTATTGTAGCTCATTGCCTAGGCGATTGTGTCGGATTTGAGATCACAATATAATCATGAGTACAAATACATTGTTGATGTCAAGCATGCTTATGAACTATGACTCGCGAAGGGTTTTTAAAATGTTTGATCTGGTGTGATCCAATGAATCTGGGTTGTAGACGAGATATTTTGAGTGCTGTGTTCTGTTAGGTTATAGTGGCATAATATAGCACTCCTACCTTTATACATTCTCGTTAGGTCGCACGCTCCATTTTTCCATATGAGGAGTGGATTGAATGAGAGATTGAGAAATGACGGTTAGGAATATAACCAACGATGTGGACCAGTAAGAGATGTTGGAAATTGGGTCAGATTTGATCCGACGCATAACCCATGGAGCGTCCATATGGGTTATTGATAATTCACATGATTCATAATATAAGATAATTAAGAAAATTATCTAAAGAGGTGTTTGTGTTATAGGAGATTAAAACTCCACCTCTACAAACAGAGAATCTCTATATATCTGATATAGAGAATATATATATATATATATATACGTATTATTGTTGTGGGAGGTTACTCAGAAAATCTCTACAAAATATTTATCTCTCTGTTCTTCCCTCTTACGTCACCATTGTAGAACCTAGGGATTTGGAGTGTGAATAATACATTAAGAAACTCTAGTAGCTTCTTAATTGGCGAAGGGTTTTCCAGATAAGACCCATAATTCAAGCATCCGATTCAAACTATTTTTGTTTCAAATAATATGATTACCGGTATCTTTTTCCTTCATATATATATATATATATATATATGTGTGTGTGTGTGTGTATGTATATTCAAAGAGTTAGATATATATAAATAATATACATATATTCAGAGAGTTAGATATATATATATATATATATATGTATATATTTTATTATATTATAAAAGTTAAGAAGTTAGAAAAATTATATGATCAAATTAAATTAATTGTATAACAAAAGAGACAAAATGAGAAATATAAAGGCAAAGGAAAAAAAATGAAGGGTATTAATGTCATTTACATTTTTTGTTAATAGTGTTAGTATTGTATTTTAATCTAAAACTAAAATAATTATTTCTAAATAATAAGGGATAAAGTACAAATGACCTCATCCGGTAAAACGGTAATCAGTGATACGTGATATACAGCAATTTTAATTTGACATAGGCTTTGACTGGAGGTGTGGCTGGGACTTGTGAGCTGCCATGGGTCTTAGTCCAACAATCACAGTTCATTTTGCTAAGTTATGTGTGTATCTTATAAACATAGCTCATCATTTCATCACATTTCTTCCCCCAATGGTATTCTTTAAAAATTATTTTTGTCATTCATAATTTAGTTATGATTATTAGATTAATATAATTTTAGCATGCATGAGAGCATTTCTAACACTTACTCTTTTTCTTTTTCTTTTTCTATCAAATTTAAATTTGATGAAATAAGTACAATTTTGCTACTCTAATCATAAATTCAAACCCATATCAAATTAGGAAAAACCAAAAGCTTCCATCAAATTGAGGGAGACTTGAGCATTTTATGAAATTGAGAAGGTAGCCATTATTGGGGCAGGTATCCGTTGGGGGCATCACAGTACACCAGACATCTGACCGGTTGCTCTCTCGAACAACCTTGTGCTTGCAAAAATAGAGAGAAATTTTCTTAAGTCGGTCGACCGCTTGAACATCCTCCCGGTCAACTAGTTATTTGGTGAAAAATAAAAGTTTAGCGTTGGAACACTTGGTATCAGATAAAACTTTTAACACAAATCTTTACTCAAATTTAGTATATATATATAAAGAGTAAGCATTGAAGATGCTTTGTCCCAACAAAAATGAATGATTTAAATTGGAGGAAACCCGTGATGAACGAGAAAAAATTCAATTAAACAGTTATACCATGTCAAATCAATTATTGCCTCCCACGTATGTGTATTTAGGCCTACTATATGTATATATGTCAATCAGTGGGATGAGTTGAGTAGGTGGTTACAATTACATGGTGGGATTTTTTTTTTTATGTGGTATATTATTGTTGGATGATGATACAACGTGTGAATAATGATGTGACATCACCATTGTATTAAAGTTTTAGAAAAGTTTGAGAACCCAGAATTGGGAATCTAGAATTAGGGTCCCAGAATGGATATATGTAGTGAAAATTAAATTGACAAAGTGTGGGATTCACAAGTGAAATGAATTTAAACCATTAATTTTTATTTTGAAATTAATTCAAAGTAGATAAGTTTGAGATTTTATTATTCTTGTAAAGTTTTACTCCGTCAACAACATCTCTAAGTACTGTGTATAGAAGAAAAACCTCACTTTTAATAAATTATAGTACGATAAATTAATTGGCTCAAGTTTGTCTTTAGTTCATTTTTGAGGGATAAACTCCCTCCATATCTCATCTTTATATATCTTTCCATATTCCTTTTATAGATTTTAATTAGGACCGTACTGATAATTCAAAACGTCCATTTTGTAGGTCTTACAATGAAAGTCATACATGTAAAAAATTAGCTTCATCAGATAATTATAAACAAATTGTATTTTATTTTATAAAATAGATGGTTCAAATTTATTTATATTTAACCATTCATTTTATGAAACAAAATGCAATTTATTTTTGTATTTACAACTTTCTAAAAAAGTTGAGTTTTTTCATGAATGACCTTTATTGTGGGCCTACGAGATAGACGGTTCAGATTATTGATGCGGGTCCAAATTAAAACTTACAAAAAGAATATGCAGAGGTATGGGGAGATGAGATATGAAGGAGAACTTATTCCGTTATTGGGCTTTATGAGAACCACTATGAAGCGGTAATTTAAGTCGTTTATTTTGTCAGATTTTATGTGTAGATTATTCTAAACAAAAATACAAATTGATTCAATAATAATTTTGTTATATTTTTCGTCAAAAATTTGAATGGTCAATTTTTAAAATTATACTATTGTTCTTTTTTTGAAGTTATATCTAATAAAATTATATAGTAAATATAAGTCTTATAATGAGTCTTATAATTTTGAGTCATAAATTGGGCAAATTACACAAATAGTCCCTATAATTTGGGGCTTGTATCACTTTGATCCCTGACTTTTCAATTGTGACACATTTGACTCTGAATTTTGAATCTTGTTCCAAATAAGGACAATTGAAGATCTCATTAGAATTTTTAAGGGTAAAATTGTCAATTTGATAAAATATAAACTAATTTGACAAAAATAAATGTCAAACAAATATTTTTGAATTTTTAAAAATTATTTCTACCTATAAAAAATAAAATTATGTAAAATTGATAAATTTTTTAAACAATTATTTTTTTTTACTAAATTAATTTTTATTATGTGTTTGGATGATGATCATGTAAAATTAATTTTAAAAAAATAATCATGTAATTTTTATTAATTTTACATAATTTTATCATTGGTGGATAAAAATAATTTTTAAAAAATTAAAAATATTTTTTTGACATTTATTTTTGTCAAATTAGTTTATATTTTATCAAATTGATGATTTTACCCTTGAAAAATCTAATGATATTTTCAATTATCTTTATTTGAAACAAAATTCAAAATTCAGGGTCAAATGTGTCACAATTGAAAAGTTAGGGACCAAAGTGATACAAGTCCCAAACTATAGAGATTATTAGTATAATTAACCCTCATAAATATAAAATCTTATAATTTTGCGATTTTTTGTGTACATATAAAATCTAACAAAATAAATAGTTTAAATCGTCAAAATAAGTCTTATAGTGAGCCATAGAAAACCTAGCAACACCTTTTGTGGACTTTATGCGGACCAATCGAAATGAAGTCCGTAATGAGTAACGAAGCCCAAGAGTACCTTATGGTCACGTTTGTTTGGGTAGACATGAGCTTGGGATTGGACTAATAATCCAATAAAATTATTAATCCGATGTTTGGTTAAACAATTGAAGTAGGAATTAATTATTTTAAACTTGACTATTAGTTAAGATAGGATACATAATCCAACAAATTTATAGTCCTAGGACTATTAGTCATGGGAATGCTAATCCAGTCCGCCCAAACAAACATGGCTTATGTGTGGACCGGAGAAAGGCTCATTCGGATTAATTAGAATCAACGAAATTGAGTTATACAAGACAGCATGTTGTATATAAAGAAATAAATAGTGGGAAAAGATTGAATTACCCTTGTTCCTTGTTGTAATAGCAACGTGCAGGAGTGGTTCGCTATCCTTGAGCATATTTTGAGCGTCAACATTCGAAGCAACGTATTGCATCATAAGCTCAAAGAGCTCCAGATACCCTGCTTCAGCGGCCATATACAAGGGTGACTTTTTTTCCAGATTCGGAAAACATGAAGGTGATGCAGCCCGCATAAACAAAGACTTGGCTATAGGTAGATGACCAGCAGCTACAGCAAGATGCAATGGAGTATTCCCTTGTTTATTTTGCCCTTTTATGACATTTAAAACCTCCTGCAGCCCTGCTTCACTTGCTCGGCCCGAAGAAATCGCAAACTGGAAAGCATTAGTGATCAAAGACTCGACTATAGACAGATGACCACCAGCTGCAGCAAGATGTAGAGGATGATCATCGTTGCAGTTTTTGCTCTTGAAAAGGTCTGGGCAGCGACTTTGGATTGGTTTCACTGATATGAAGAATCGTGTCGTCTCGCGGGGTGAGTTGGTTGAGAAGATTGAGTTCGGGGTCTTGTTGTAGTGCTGTTGTCAGGCCATCCATGTCTCCAGCCATAGCTGCCCTGTATATTGCAGCTTCCATAGAATTAGACTCTGTCGTCATCGTATCCCTTTCAGACGTACGGCTTGCACCACTCTCTCTCTCTCTCTCTCTCTCTCTCTCTCTCTCTCCTCTGTGGTAATAAAACCTGATCTGCTGTCTATTTCCATCTGTGTGTCAGATACAGCCAGATACGTTTTTTTCCATCCATTTCAGACGCACGGCTTGCGCCTCTCTCCCTCTCTGTGTGTTTGTGTATGGTTGTTGTCCTCCTTCTGTGTTAGTATTTCTGTGTGGTTAATACATATAACTGTCTGGCATATCATATATTTATATATATAAGAATTGTTTCGTTGCTTGAGATTTTTTTATTTTTAAAAGATATGTACAAAGAATATTTTAATATAATATTATAGGTGCATTTTGATGTTTATTATGGTCATTTTACTTTAAGATTTAATTGTCATTGAAATAATATTTCATTAAGTATATGTACTGAGATAAGTAGGTGCGGAAATAAAATTTTCCAAATTATAGGGTTAAAGTGAAATTTGCTTTTTTATTAAAAAAATGTTTGCACACATGATATTGAAGGTTATAAAAGACAGAGTAAATATTTTTTAACACCAATTAAATTAATTTTAAGAAATTGTGAAAAGAACAAAACCCCAAAAGAAAATAAAAGAAGGAATAGAATCAAAAGATGATCTATATTTACGTGTCTTGTCTTACCAGGCCATGTGTCACTACCCCCCTGAGGTTTATATTTCATAACAAATTACCCCCTAATTTCTTATGCAAATATAGCATTCAGGGGGGAATTCGTAATTTCTCAAACCTCAGGAGGGTATCTGTAATTTTATCAAACCTGGAGGGGTGTATATGTAATTTGCCCTATATATATATATATAGCAACAAGAAGAGCATCACTTCACTTCATAACTATTAGCGTACATAACATGTAATACAATATTTATAAAGCATGAAAATAAGTAATATCTTAATTTAAAATAAAATTTTAAATATTGTGTGTTAATTTTTTTTGAGAGATTTATTTATAAATCTTATTTAGAGTACTTATAATCCAATAAGTCCATAAAACTTTTTGTATTCCATCTAGTCCCATATATTTAGACTTATATCCCCAAAGGTCCTTTTTTTCCTTATTTATAATATTTTTAGAACTAATATACCCTTTGTTTTATTTTTGATAGTAAGTATTACACACAATTGTAATCTTCTTGTTTCCTTTTTTCTATTTTGACTGTTTTGAAATTAGTGGAATAGGTTTCTTTAAAAACTAAATATATATTATTAAATTATAATATTGACAAGAAAACATGGTTGAAAAAAAATTTTGCAGCACAAAGAACTTCCTCTCTCTCTCTCTCTCTCTCTCTCTCTCTAATTTGCTCGTTTGAGAATTGGGGAAAATCAAAAAACAACAAAACTGAGATGAGAATTGGGAAAATCACAAAACAACAGAAACTCATAGAGGTGAATTGGGCGACGATAATCAAAGAAAAAAACAAAATAGAAGAAACCCAAAAAAAAAGCTCATCATCATCATCATCATCATCATCGTCGTCGTCGTCGTCATCATCATTCTTCTATTATTGCAATTCAAAACTCTGTGTTCTTTCATTGTTATAGTTCAAAACTCTGTATTTTTCCATTGTTGCAGTTCGAAACTATATTTTCTTCCATTCATATATCATAGGGGCAAGGTTAGCACCGTTATTGTTTTGCAACTACATATAGGTATGTGTTGGTAAGGATGTATGTTCAGAACTGTTTAATAATTTATTAAAGTTAGATTTGAGTTTTTGTTTCGAGATGAATTGATATGGTATTATATATCCGTGTATATATGTGCTTATTAATTAGGTATTTTTGTGAGTGTGAACGTGCACAAGCATATCCACTAAACTCATTGTTATCGTGGATTATGAGATTTTAATGTTTTGAATTTGCTGATGTAAACTTCAACATTAGAAACATGTGATGGTTGTATGATGTGCAATGTAAACTAATGAGTGCATGATTGTTGCATAATACGAATCTTCACATTCACATATTACTAATTATTGTATGAGTTTTCATGATTTTCACATGATTATTACATGGTGTGAAAGTTCGCATTAGTATTGTGATTATCACATCTTTAATCAATATTAATATTTATATTTAGAAATAGTCATATAAGTGTAAATAACAATGTGATATTTTGGTTAGAATATATTGTCCATCTTAGTAATATAACATAGAGATATGAATGTTCACATCAACATTCGTGAATGGTTATATGCACACAATAACAAATAATTACTAACAATGTGAATGTTCACAATGTCTCTATAATACCAAAATAACATTGACCATGTATTACTCACAACAAATCACATTTAATGTTAATATTCACATCAAAAAATAGTCATACACTAGCATAAACAATGTGAATATTTACAGCATATGGTTCTATGATGGGATATTAACATGAAAGTCATATAATTAATTATCGGTATGCATTTGTAATATGAAAGTTCATATTAACATTTAGTGAGAGATTTTCAGAAGGTAGAAAATTTATAGTTTTAGGAATGTGAGAGATTTTTCTATGGAATAAATGAGAGATTTTCTCCATAGAATGAGAGAAATATTTTCTTTATGGAATAAGGAAAAGATTTTATTCCTGAAATGTAGAGATTCTCCCTAGAATAAAGGAAGAGATTTTTTTTCATGGAATGAGCAACTTTTGTTTTTTTTTTTTTTAATTTTATTGTGTATTAATTTCAAAATGGAAACATGCACAAAAAGTTGAAAGGGTGATTTGGTCATATTATTCTAAACAAAACCTAATGAAATATTAAAAAAGAAGATGGATTAAATGGAATATAATAAGATAGGACTTTCTGAAAAATCACCCATCTTTTTTTTTATTTTTTATTTTTTATTTAACTCTTAATAATATTTCACATTAAAGTGGAGAGTGTAAGGATCATACCCTTATTAAGTTTGAAAAAGTTATTTCAACTTGAATAGATAATTAAAAATCACTTTCTTCATTTCAGCTCGTTTCAAACGATTTTTCATTCTCTTTCAAATTTCTGATCATCCATCGTGTTGCTATCATGCGGAATATAGGGTCGCAAAACATGTCATTTGAATTGATTATTAATGACATGGATAGGCCCATAAGGCTTACAGCCCACAGCAAACAACCTCAAACCCATCGCTTGGGACCCATAGCATAACCCGGCTGGCAAAGCCCAGGACAGCTGGAGGCCATCTGGGTATGGAGAGCCAATGACATTCGGGCACATGGCATGTGAAACACAGGCCACATCAGCAGACAAAGATTTGTAGAGTTATTGCCACTACACATCACCATTAATGCAGCCCATCACAACATTTATTACGACAACACCTCCCCGTCGAAACAGAGCCCCCTCACCCTGAACAAGGTAAGCTACAGCACAGGCTTTCGGCGGAGGAGGGCACGTCGCAAGGGACTGTGAAATGATTACCAAAAGATATAAGCAAGAATCGAAGACAAGAGGAAGGTTAAGCTTTTCTATCTCTCTCTCTCTCTCTCTCTCTATATATATATATATATATATTTCCTTCTTCCTCTACTGATTTGCTCGCCGGAGGGTTCACTGGGGGACTACCCCGTTCCCTTTTGGACTTGCTTGCAGGTCATCTGGTGGAATCATCCGCCTGGATTGGAACTTGAAGAGCTTGGACCAGCCCGACCCATCCACCCAGGACGAACTGCATCATCAGTTGGCGCCATCTGTGGGAACTTGTGGTTTATTCGTGCGCTAGTTGTGTTCACTATCGCCGGAGCCCCCATTTCTCCCCGTTACCTTTTCCTCTCACCCGCCCAGGTGTATGGTCACGACTAGATCCATGGCTTCTCACCATAATACCGTCGATCATCAAACAGACCCTCCCCATCCAAACAACCCACCACAGTACATCATCGAACTTACCAACAGCATTAACCGCATGGCCAAGCAAAACCAGGCCCTGATCAATGCTTTACTCCAAAGAAACCTCCCCGCTCCACCTCCAGATATTCCACCCAACCAAGAAAGGACCCCGGTTCACACTGCTCCACAACCCCCTCCGCTCAAACCAGAAGGTTTACAACCTCCTCCTCCTCCACATATGAGCCTACCACCTCCACCCCCACGGCCGTCAGTCGTGGCACTAGCCCCTGAGGGGGAAGCCAGCAGCGTCCAGCCTCCATTGACCGACCATGGTGACAATATTCCCCTCTGGGACGCTGAACTCCGAGCTGTGAAGCTCCAACTACAAGGGGTCATGCAGAACATTCAGCACAAGCCCTCAGTCACCGCTAACTCGCCTTTTGTTGCCTCCATCTGGGACAAACCATTGCCCGCCAAGTTCAAAATGCCCACCATTGACTCTTTCAATGGCACGACGGACCCAGTCGACCATCTGGAAGCCTATCGCACTCTCATGATCCTCCATGCTTTCCCTGACGAGATCATGTGCCGAGCTTTTCCCGTGACACTGAAGGGATCAGCTCGGTTGTGGTTTAGCCAGTTACCGGCGGACTCCGTCTCCACCTTTCAACACCTCAGTGACTCTTTCCTGAGCCATTTTATCGGAGCCCAGCGTCAGAGACGCCCAGCCACCCAACTCCTTAACATTCGTCAGACCGAGGGGGAGTCGCTCCACAGCTTCGTCACCCACTTCAACACCGAAGCCCTTCAAGTAGCGGAGAACGACGACAAGGGCATCCTCACGGCTTTCATGGCTGGCCTACGGTCGTCCGATTTTCTTTTCTCCCTCTCCAAAAACACTCTAACCACCATGGCAGCCATACTATCCAAAGCCCAGAAGTACATGAATGCTGAAGATTCCCTGGCCGCTCGGCAGGAGCCAATCACTAAAAATCCGACCCCCAGAGACAAGAGGAAAGACTCAAAACCCAGGACCGCCCAGTATAATA